CACTCAACCCCGCCCCCCGCCCCGCACCCGCAACGCCCCGGTCCCCCCAGTGGTGTGACCCTGGGGGGCTCCGGGGTGGGGCACAAAAAATATTTTTGGGGCTTAGCCCACGGGGTGCACGTTGACTTTTTTTTTTTCCGGGCGAGGGGGGTCCGGAGCCAGGGTTGGGGGTGCTCACCCCCGGACCCCCGGACCCCCGCCGGGGCCCCGGGGCCGGGGCTCGACAACCTTGGGTGACCGCTATGGAGGGTCGACCATGCAAGGGAACAAGGGAGCCTGGTATACTGGGCGCACCTAGATGAAGCATGCGAGGCTGCCTAACTAGGGCGTGAGGGCCGGCAGAGGGTAGAAAAAAAAGTGATGGGTAAGGGAATCATGCAAATGATTCCTAAGGTGGGGGAAGTCGGAGTTGGATTCATAAGTTGGGAAGTCGAGGCAACGCTATGGTCCCGATGCCTATGCGTATACCAAGGGAGAACCCAACTCAGAGGAACCCGGCGAAGGGAGACCATCATGCGACACAACCAGGGTACTATACAGGGTAAGGTGGTAAGAGAGTGACGACGTCTGAAGTAGGCAGAGATGATCGTGATGAAGTCCATTAAGTTGCCGATGACGTCCATGATGAGAAATTTAGAATGTCGTCGAGGAAGAGTCACAAGGTCGACAAGCTGAAGTGACAAAACTGGAGTGGATGGAGTACTGAGAAGGCAAGGACCGGGGAGATAAGTCAGAGTCAATCGTCGTATCAAGCAGAACGACGACAAGTGCGTTGTGGAGGCTCATAAGCATCCGACTGCTGCTGAAGGTCTGCCTCAGATGGAGCAGGCTCGGCTTCAGCACGACGAGCACGGTCATAGGCACGCACCAACATGCGAGCATGCTGCAAGTGCTCGAGGGACTCCCAAATAGCCTCCTTATCAAGGTAACCCTTCCAACGTACGAGATACTTGACATGGGGAGGGTTGTCGTTGGTGACTCGGCGACCAATGATGTCTGAAACGAGGAACTCTTTGTGGTTGTTCACCATGATGGGTGGAGGGCGCTCGTATGGTTGTCCAGCGAAACGCTCAGACGGTCTGCGGTAGGGACGCAGTAACGAGACGTGGTAGGCATCGTGCACACGAGCTTGGCGTAGGTAGTTGGACAGCTTCACACGGAAGCTGACCGGGCTAGAAGCTGTATCAAAACCGACGGCCTGGAGAATGCAACATGGGCCAAAGAAGCGACGTCGAAACTTGCGAAGCGTGTCCGCTTCGAGCTGTAAGTGGCGGGCGTCGATAAGCACCACAAGTGGTTATTGGGTACTTGGAATTTCATAGATGAAAATTGTGAAGTGAAAAAATTTGAGTTGTTTTGTTTGTCATAAAAATCATGCTTGGATTATGAATTCGGGAGGAGGTCACTGACGTTCATGGTGAAAAGATCTAGTAAAATATTTTATTCATATCTTAAAAAACATGTCTTAAAACTTCTTTATTTTTCACCCGCCTAAAAAGTTTTCTGCTTTTCGCCTACCTGAAAGTTTTACACCCACCCTCTTCTTGAAAACTTAATGGGTTTTTCATGATTTCGGACCCTTTTGAAATTTTTATGATTCCCCCCCCCCCCCCCCCCCCCAATCATGCAAATTATGAACAAACTTGAAGTGGTGAAGATCATGAATGGTATGAAAGCACTCTCTCCCTGATGCTTAAAGAACATTATGAAAATCATGAACGGACCGGAAGTGATGAAAATCATGAATGATTTTCACCCGTCTGAAGATCATGAATTAACCTGAAGGTGAAGATCATGAATAGTATTAAAGCACCGCCCCCTCTCGTGCATGGAGAGCATCATGAAAATCATGAATGAACCTGAAGTGGTGAAGATCGTGAATGGTTTAAAAGCATCCCCCCGGGTCACCGAGAGGGTGCTTTCAGACCATTCCTTCATCTTCACCACTTAAGATCGTTCATGATTTTCATTATGCATAAAGAGCATCATGAAAATCATGAACGAACCTGAAGTGGTGAAGATCATGAATGATATGAAAGCATGAAAACACTACCCCCCGACCACCGGGGGGGGTGCTTTCAGACCATTCATGGTCGTCACCACTTCAAGATCGTTCATGATTTTCATGATGTATAGAGAGCATCATGAAAATAATGAACAAACCTGAACTGACGAAGATCGTAAGTAGTTTGAAAGCACCGGCCACCGGGGGGTGCTTTCAGACCATTCATGGTCTTCACTACTTTAAGATTATTCATGATTTTCATGATGCATAAAGAGAATCATGAAAATCATGAATGGACCTGAAGTGTTGAAGATCATGAATGGTATGAAAACACCCCCCCCCCCCACTAGTCACCGGGGGGTTGCTTTAAGACCAATTATGGTTTTCACCACTTCAAGATCGTTCATGATTTTCATGATGCATAAAGGGCATCATGAAAATCATGAACGAACTAGAAGTCGTGAAGATCATGAATGGTATGAAATCATATTGAAACCAAGCCCTATGGCCACCTGTTTTTTATACATGAACATCCCGAATCATCTTGAAGTGATGTAAGACCTGAACACCATGAAATCAGACCCAATGGCCACCTTTTTTAGATACATGAACATCCCGAATCATCCTGAAGTGATGAAGGACGTAAACACCTTGAATCCAGGCACTATGGCCACCTGTTTTTGATACTTGAATATCCCGAATCATCCTGAAGTGATGATACCCGAGCATCCCGAATCATCCTAAAGTGGTGAAGGATCTGAACACCCTGAAACCAGCCCCTATAGCCACCTGTTGTTGATACTTGAGCATCCTGAATCATCTTGAAGTGATGAAGGACCTGAATACCATAAAACCATGTCCTATGGTCACCTGTTTTTGATACATGAGCATCCCGAATCATCCTGAAGTGATGAAGGACCCGAACACTGTGTGTTTTTTTAACGGGAAACGAGGGAATTAAACTCCCGTTGAATCCCATTAAATTCAAGAAAATCCCGTTGAATTCCTGTTAAACGCAAAAATGAGCCTCTACCGCGCTTTTCGAAAAAACGGAATTGATGCGAGGTGTCGTACCAAATGACCTCACAAGGGTATTTGGCGTGCTTTTTGTAAGTCATGCCAGTGCGACCTCGTCCGAAGTTGACGGCGCACTCGCGGGTGAGAGTTTAGTCATTGCCCAAGTGAGCAGAGCACGCGAGGTATTGACGGCAAGGAGCAACCATACGCGACCTGGGTGTGCACGACGTCACAGGCCAGCGGGACGTGCGGCCCCTCGCCCTTGTTACTTTTTTTTTTTCTCGCGTTTGTTTTTATTTTTATTAATTTTATTACTGTACTTTTATTTTTACT